CCTCAGTGCCATACTGTCCTTCTGCGAGGCTTGAGGCACTGGTTTCTGCGCACTCGGTACTGGCAGACCTCCTGGTCATCAGCCCATGACGGCTCCCTGTCAAGGCCCCAGTCTCTATTGCCCTACTACCATTTGACAGACAGGTATTGATTCCCCACTGGTCTTCCACAGGGGTCAGTCAGCAGACACAAGCCTCACCTTGGGCTCTGGCAGGGGAGTGGTGCTAGTTAGAGCTGGAGTCCTCCTCAAAGCATGAATCATGATGTGCATGAGGTTGAGGGTTTGAGACCTGCCCACCCTGGGGAAAGAGTTGGCGCCCTTGGTCGGTAGGAAGGATAAGGGGCCGGGACAGTGGCAGTGGTTGTCATGGCAGCAGCGCCAGTGGCCTGCTCAGTGGTCATGGTGGAACATTTGGGCCATATCCGTGATTCCATTTGCATATACCTGCCACTGATGACACCTGAGTCAGAGCATGGTACAAAATCTGATGCAGGGCAGCAGAATGCCTAAAGAGCCCTCCTCCCCAGAAGGAGAGGGAACTTGCCCCTCCCTCGGCAGTGCAATCATTGTCTTCAGCTTAGAAAAAAGAGGTGGTGGTGGCCCTCTCAGGCTGGCAGTACAGGCAGTCCCCGGGTTACGTACAAGATAGGGACTGTAGGTTTGTTCTTAAGTTGAATCTGTATGTAAGTCGGAACTGGCGTCCAGATTCAGCCGCTGCTGAAACTGACCTCCAGTTCTGACTTACATACAGATTCAACTTAAGAACAAACCTACAGTCCCTATCTTGTACGTAACCCGGGGACTGCCTGTATACACATCTGTGCTAGAAGTCGGTAGTTTTGCACAATTTAGAAGTGGTTTGAACACTTGTATGGCTAATAAAAAATATATAGTTATAATTAGAAGAATTTTTTAAAAACCTAAGAATTTTGGAGACGATATGGATGCTCATGGAGAAAACACTTCATGTCTATTGCACCTGCCTACACAAAGTTGCTTGTGTCTTTGTCTGAAGTATTTGACAGCAAGAGAGAAGAATCTGAATTAGGTGGACCATTGTTTCAGTCCAGTAGGGCAATTCCAATGTTCCTACAAATAGAGAACATGGTTAAGGTACTGTCTACATTATAATGTTACTAGGTGAGAGGACAAGTGTTTTGATGTATAGTACTGTTCAGTTTGCTATACAGTAAGGTTGGACCTCCCTGGTCCGTCACACTCAGGACCTGAGCAGTCCAAAATCAGGGAATTTGCTGGACCAGAGGAGATCAGACCTCCACTTCTCCAGGTGCTCTCCTCCTGCTCCTTGCCCCAGCTATTGTGCTGCTCCCTGCACACACACTCGCCCCGGAGGTCGGGGCGAGAAAGCCCCGTTCGTAAGCTGCTCCGGTGCCCCTGGTCTGCTGGAGACCGTCTCCAGCAGACCAGGGGCACCGGGCTGGTTCCCGCGCTTCTGAGGCTTTGCCCTGGCAAAGCCTCAGAAGCGCGGGAACCCGCCCGGTGCCCCTGGTCTGCTGGAGACGATCTCCAGAGCAGCTTACAGGGGCACCAGAGCAGGGGCACCAGAGCAGCTTACAAACGGGGCTTTCTCGCCCCGGAGCTCGCAGGTAGCAATCCGCTACCTCGACCTCCGGGGGCTGCACTTCTGAACTTGGCCGGCCTGGGTTCTCTGGTCCAGCAATATCCATGATCCTGCCAGACCACGAATGTTGCCAAACCAAAGAGTCCTGGATTTCAGAGGTTCAACCAGTATAGAAATACATAGCTTTAAAATCGATTAGCTTTTGCACTCACACATGAAGTGAATTTAAATGGTCATATCTAATTAACACCAAACTATTTCAAGTTTAATAAAGGCAATACACCATAATGAGGATCAGTTGCATACCAATCCCCTCATTTTGCCACTGGATCTATGTGTGAGAAGCAATGTTCAAATTAATATTTTACTATATCGTAGTAACTGCAATGGAGGGCACTGGGATACCTACCCACAGTGCACTGCACCTTTATCTGTAAAATTGTGCTGCTGTGTGGACACAAGCATTGTAGTATGACAGTTATACATGATGCACGGTGTGAACCTACTCTTCCAAAAAAGCTATTTTGATTGCACTAAGGAATTCTACAACAGTGCAAGGTCTGCATATAGACACACCTGTGCTTATCGACAGATGTTGCTACTGAGTGATAGCTATTATTAGAAGACTTAACCCAGTGTTACCCAAGTCCTTCAAGGCAGGGCCCTGGGGATGTGGGTTTTGTAGGAGGCTGGGGTCCAGGGACCTGTTCTCTTCCCCTCCCCGAAGCACTGCAGTGAAGGGCTGGGAGTGGGGGAAAGGGTCTAGATTAGGGGGACCATTTACCTGGTGTGTTGGCAGGCAAGATGGCAGAGCCTCAGCCTTGTTGGCCACTCCCTTGATGGTACGGCTGTCCCCAGTGGCTACTCTCCTATTGCATCCCTTGGAAAAGCAGCCCTTCCCTTTGCATCTTATGGAAAACTGTACTATTCCCGGAGCTTCTGGTTGTCTTGACACAAACAGACCCTGACCTTGCTTTAAAAAAACAGGAAAGGAAGCTGAATACCAAATGTGGTGGCTCTAGCTATTACCATTTAGGAGGAATTCTTGAACAAACTGACTCAGACAGGTGCACCCTAAAATTACATATGGATTGCTAGGCAGTATCACGAAAGACAATAAGCTGCTCAATAAACTACCATTTGCCTGTCATGGGGCGGGTATGACTAGCCTCCTCTGAGACAGGGTGTTCAGTCTATCAGGCCCTGCAATATGTGCTCCACCCTATGAATGCTACAGTCCCAAGTACCCACAGGCACTACCCCTTTTCTCCCATCCAAGAGTCCAGCCTGGCAGCCCGAAGTCAGTGGCCACCCCTGTCCACGGGGCAGTAGGGCCCAGCAGCCGAGTCTTGATGGACGTGTCCTACCACTAGCTCAGCAGGGAATCCACCTGCAACACTCTGAGCTCTCAGGGATCTAGCTCCCTGCCCTGGGCAACTTCCAACTCTGTTCAGTTGTCAGCATGTTCCCCACTCGCTTCCTCCAGATTGGGAGCTTCCCCGGCTGGTCTCTACTGGCTAGCCTCCTCTGCAGAGTGCTGTGGCGGCTTGCTGTTGCTGCTCCCAAGCTCTGCTGGCAGCTCCTTCCTCTGTGGTGATCAGTCCTGACTGAGCTGCTCCAGTGGCCTTTCTACTGGTCCTCCGGTTGGAGCATGCCCAGCAGGGCTGTGGGAGTGGTGGGCTCTCTGACCAATAGACCTGGTTAACACGTGCAGACCCAGCGTGGGGTTGGCACAGCCCAGTACAGCCTAAAACATCAAAACTAGAGAGTGCCACTATCACAGAGACGTTTTAATGTGTGTGCGGGTTTTTCCTCCCCAAGAGTGTGAACAGTAGGGATTAGAATGACATTTTAATGGAATTTGGTAGGTGTCTGTGTTCATTTTCTGTTAATATTTTTCAGAGCATCATAAAGCTTGAAAATAAACGCTGCTTTCTCTGGAAAGTGTGTCTGTGATGCATTAAATAATGGCATTATAGTGTAAAAGTTTGACAGGTTGGAGCTTGTCTCTGCACATTGTGACCTTTTTGTTGCCAACATATATCACACTTTTTCATCAGTGCTTTATTTTTAGTTGACATTTCACCCAAACAAGTGTTAAGTGTTTTTTCTCTAGTAGTTTAAAACCAAAAGGGCATGGCTGTTTGACCAAAGTACAAACCCAATGTACGCTTCTGGTTACTTACAGTGGTGACAATCCCCAGCCATTCTGAATAATTATTGCTTTGCGAACATGGCTAGTAGTAGTCATTATTTTAGCACCAATAATGTGCACAATATTGTGCAAGATACAAAGTGAAAGATTGTGCCCTTTAGAGCTTAAAATCTGAGGGCGTGGCCTTACAAGCACTTATGCATCTGAGTAACTTTAGTAAAGAAGGAAATCGAGGCATGTGTATGATTAAGACTTTTTAAAATATAAACTTAAAATTACTGGTACAGCTATTCTTACACTTTGTATTGTTTCCTTAGCAATCTGAGTCTCCTTTCTGTACCTGTGCTTCCTTTCTTTTAGCTAATACTTCTTCTATATTCAGTCAGTTGGGCCCATTCTAACAGTGGTGCCTTGCATTTTCATTTGCCCTTTCCAGTTGTCATACCTAATATGTAACTGAAGGTGCATATTGGTCAGTGGCTCTAAAACCATCCTGTAGTGCCTTTGCTCCATCACCCACATATGTGTGTTCCTGTGTGCGCATTGCATAAGTCAAAAGAAGAGAATAAACTTGACTATAATAGTCATGGGCGGTGTTCCCAATAAGCTGTGGACTTCTGCAGCCACTCAGGAGAGATTCTGATGCCACACAGCTGATTAGCAGAGCACTCACAGCTAAGTTGTTTGTTTCCACTGGTAGTGCCTTGGTACATGTTTTTAAAAAAATTATTTCGCACATGAATGGAAAAAATTAGCGGGAACGCTTTTTTCTTGGGGTAGCTTTAATGCTGTGCTTTCACATTCAGTCCCCAACAATACCGTGCACTGTATTTTACTGAAACATGAAGTGTGGTGAGTGAGAGAGAAGTGTGGTAAGTGGGAGAAAAATATTGATGTCAAAATCATTGTAGTCAGATGCTACATTATGTGCTCACGTTCTTAGTAGGGTTTGGCCATAAAATAGAAAACTAGTGTAAATTCATGTGTGTGTGATTCCTTCAGACTTGGCGCAACAGTTTCTACAAATCTTGTGACACAGCAACCACATTTTCCTCACCCCACTTACTGTTTTAAAAGAAAGGTGCCGTGACACCATCCATTTTAAATGTACAATGGACTTCACCTAGATAATGACAACTAAGCTAAGAAGGAGTAATAAGCATTTTTATTTTGTGTTGTTTTTTTAAGTGATGGGTAACTCCTGATAACAATATACATGTTGTTGTTTCTTCCTTTCTCCCTCATCCCTTCCACTCTAACCAGGGGATGGATGTGGGCACATGGTGGTGTATCAAGACAGTGGCACTCTAGCATCCAAGAACTATCCTGAGACTTACCCCAACTATACTGTTTGTGAAAAGAAAATTCAGGTACCTCAGGGAAAACGACTTATTTTAAAAATCGGAGACTTGGATATTGAATCCCAGAAATGTGAATCTAACTACCTTACCATCATCAGTTCCTCAGCATTACATGGTAAGTAAGAAAAATGAGTAAGATTATAAATCGTTAAAAGGCTTTGAGGTTTTTAATGGATTATGATCAGAGGAAAAGCATGGAAATTGTTTACTTGGATTCCTTATCTGAGAATCTTCCTGCATGTTAGATTTTTCTGTTTTCAGGTGTGTAAAGTATTGGGGGTCTCATAAACTGTATTGCTTTAAGAAGCATAGTAATAATGCCATTCTGTACATACTATAAAACTGCCTGGCCAAAGTGAATATATATCAAGTACTAGCATGTTCACTGACGGCTTTAGCCCCAGTTATGAACTTTAGGTAGAGCTAAGGTGCCAGTTGTAACTGACACTGCTGCAGTAGTTCTCAAAGGCTAGGTAAATTTGTATTAAAAGGAAAGCCTGACGCTAAGAGAAGGATCCCACATGAGCCTGCATTTGGGAGGAGATTTAGAAAGGAAAGACTATATTAGAGAAGGAGCAACAAACTTTAATGAACTATGGATTTTGCTAATTCATAAACTTTAGTACCCAAACTTGCATGAAAGCAGATGTGGTACATCCTGGACTAGCTTTCATTTAGGTATAATAACTGGACTGCAAATTAAGCTGAAAAGATACTCACAATATCTAGTTCTGTATCCTGAATAGAGCTGTTAAAACTGCTTATTTGGTGTAGAATCTTCTTTGGGAATACTGTATACCTCCCCCATATCAACTTTGCAATACTATAATTGATATTGAACCTTTCCTCTTGTTCATTTTGTAGGAGGTAAATGACCTTTCATGTCAGCGTGACAACTTACAAAAGTCACTGCTTTTATATTCAGTGTAAGGTATGTGCAACTAAGATGACAAGTTACATACAAGTTCTTGAATTACGAGATAAAATTTTACATAAAACAAGGTCTTTCCTCACCCGTATCTACAACATTGGCAATTACTGATGGGTTGCAATAGAGCAGTGGTTTTCAACCTTAGAACCTGCAGACTGAGATTTCCAAAGAAGCCTGCACTTCCATTTCAAAATGTTCAAGGGTCTGCAAATGAAAAAAGATTGCAAAGCATTGGAGGAGAGAGAAGGGGAAGAATTAGATACATTTTACTTAGAATGTTTGCTGGTTTTGAAGGTCATCTTAGCATGGTGCTGATCTCAGTGAAGTGTGTGAATCTCTGGAGGATAGATTCACAAGATATCTTGATGGCAAAGGAAGATGATTGCCTTTCATTCATGTGTGATAGACCTATAATTCATATAATGCAATAACACCAAGTGAGCTATTAGGTTCTTTCTCACAAATAATCAAGATAATTATCACCCTTCATAGGTGAGGTTTTTTTTTTTTAATAGAAAGTCTTCACGAAGTGTGAAGAATGATATGTTCATATTCCACATTTGTATATATACTGATCATGAGACTGAAAATGTTTATTAGATTGTGGTAGTCTATGTACAAATGCATAACAAAAAGGCAGTTGCTGCCCCCAAAGAACTTACTGGTTTTGTAATTTAGTGATATTTTTCTTGATTGCCAGAGCCATGATGATGGGACTCAGTGTTCCCAACTCTTCATTTTATTGTGAGACACAGGATAATTGTTGCTTTTCTTAAAGCTTGGGCTCCTGGAGTCATGTGAATATAAGTATTTCAGTTTACTCTGTTTATTATGGCCATGTCTAGCTTGAATGATTAGGAAGAGAGCTTGAAAATATCATTGAATGCTAAAACTGGAAGGAAACTTAAGATGTCATCAAGTCATGGCAGGTCCTCATGGCGGGACCAAGGACAATAGACCAAGCCTGACAGGTGTCTGTCTAACCCGCTCTTAAAAATCTCCAGTGATGGAGATTTCACAGCCTCTCGAGGAAACTTATTCTAGTGCTTATCCATCCTGCATATCTTAATGCATCTGATGCATTAAAGACTCAGATGGGCAAATCAAACTAACCCAAAATGTAGTAATGTGTGAGGATTTTTTGTTTTTCTTTAAATTTTAGTCTTGTGGTTTTTAAAGCCAATTTGGGAGCCCTGCTTTGCTGTTTTTTGAGTCATTATGGTTGGCAGTAAGGATGTACGCTACTACTTGAATAGTCAACTACCTGATAAACATAGGCTTATCAGGTAATCAAGGGTACGTCTAGACTACATGCCTCTGACGCCAGAGGCATGTAGATTAGGCTACCAGACATAGTAAAATGAAGCGGCGATTTAAATAATCGCCACTTCATTTAAATTTACATGGCTGCCGCGCTGAGCCGACAAACAGCTGATCAGCTGTTTGTCGGCTCAGCGCGGCAGCCATGTAAATTTAAATGAAGTGGCGATTATTTAAATCGCCGCTTCATTTTACTATGTCTGGTAGCCTAATCTACATGCCTCTGGCGACAGAGGCATGTAGTCTAGACGTACCCCAAGTCACTACTCAATCACTTGCTTCCCCCTGCTTGCTGCCTCTATATGAGAAGCAGCAAGGGGAGGGTGAAGCAGGAGCCGGTGGTAGGGGGAGCTGGCTTAAAAGCCAGTTCCCCTGAGCACTGTCTCTGCAATGCGGAAGAACAGAGGAGGCAGAGCCACAGCGGGAGAACCCAGAGTGAGCTAGCACTCAGCAGACCCGCATCGCACCGGGTCCTGGACCACTGTGGCTCTGCCTTTTAAATGTAGTAAAGTGGCTCTTGAGGGACATACATATGCGTAAACTGTGATTCAGACTCGAGATAACTATCTTTTTTTGGAAGTAATGTAATAAAGCAGGGAATACACAAGTTCATTTTTGAACTATTGATGTCCCATAGCCTAAAGGAAACTACTGTTCTATACAAATAAGTTGGTTTGAGGATTTTGTTACCTAATTGATTTTTTTTTTCTGTTTTTCCCTTGACTGTGACTCTAGGAGTTAAAAAATAAATCTAAACACAATAAATATTTACATTTGTGCCATGTCACAGATTTTATAGACGAACCTAGATCATTATGGTTTTAATAATCCTTTTCTTGGAAAGTATGTACAATTTGAAAATTGGTTATGGTGAACTACTAACCCCTGCTTTTCAATTCTATTACAGAACTGACATTCTAATGCTCTTTATCCTTAATGCTTGTCTTGAGCTTTAATAAAGCTATGTATGAAACCACTGTACTTAGGTATTTACACTCTCTCTCTTTCAATAGTTGAATATTAAAAGAAGCTTAATGAATTTGTAAAATAAATCCTATTCTCTGTATCCTTTTGCCTCTTGATTCTCATGCACTAATGAAGTCAATAAATCATTTTTGAAATCACTGCTGACCAACATTCTAATAGTAAACAGAATATAAATTGGTTATCTTCATAGTGAATATGCCACTTCCCTCAAGTCCCTCCCACTCAGTTGGTCCTAGAAGCGCTCTACAATCCCGGTAAACTGTGCAAGTGTAGGGGACATAAAGCAATTCAGAAGCACTGTATATACCTCAGGTTCGTTGCTCAGCAAATATACTAATACACTTGAATCTCTCTTAATCCAGCATCCCCTGTGAAACCAGATGAAAGAATTCTCCAGGCCAGTGAGGGCACTGCACACCCCATCTAGGTGTGATGGGGATGAGGGTCGGGTGCTTGTCTGGCACCCTGCTTCCAGAGACACACCTGGCCCACATCCCACAACTCTATGGGAGCAGTGGGGAAAAGGCTCAGGAGAAACATATTGCTGTGCTGCCGTCCTCACACCTGCAGCACACAGAGCCACTTCCTCCTCTCCCTGCCAGGGTCCATACCACATAGGGTAGCCATAAAGGTACCTGAAGAATAGACGACAGTTGCATTTAGTGCATAGGAGGGGGACCAGGGATGGGCGGTGGCTCTGGAGTCGGGGCTGGGAGTGTAGGGGTCAGTGTGGGGAGAGGCAAAGGTGCCATTTCGGGGTGGGGTAGGGGGCTGCAGCCACACATATCCAGTTGCTGCTGCTCTTCTTCCTCTTCTTCTGACTCTCTCAGAGAGCGAGGGGAAAGTTCACAACCTGCAGCTTTCCTCCTCTGCCCTCTCCTTGGCGGCTGGGAGAGAGAAGAAGGCATTAGCTGAGCATTTCCGCTTCACTCTCTGATACTCAGGGGAAGAGGAAGACAGTGTATGCACAGCTGCAGCCCCACTACCCTTCTCACAGGGTGGGGAATGGCTTAGGGGCTGGGACAGCCCTGTTCCCCTGCACACCCCCAGCCAGCCCCTTTCATCTGCCTGCTGCTTAGCAAGGCAGCCTGCAAGAGGGTCCCGGGGGTCCCGCTGGGAGTAGCTGCAGCTGAACACCCCAGCCTGCTGGCTGCAACGGGGCACACCACTTACTTTCACCTCTGGTCTTAAGAGAAAAATAGAGGTCATAAGATCATCCTCTTTCATATTAATAGAGGACAGAGTAACAAAAAACAGAGGGTGAATGGCCACCCTAGACCACAGGTGTTCCTGGATCAGGGACAGCCAGAGCATGGAGGTTCTAGTGTAATCAGTGATCACCAGATGAAGCCTCCGAACTAAGTATTGGTCTTGCAACTAATAATTTGGGCTCAGACTATGTATGAAGGTATTTATTAATCATCTGATGAAAAAGGTAATCTGACTTCAGTTTCACTAAAGCTGGTCACCTTTTGTCTGCCATTCATTTAAATATTAGCTTAGCCATGTACATGCTACCTACCAGAGAAACAAGACACATTCTCTTTTTGAAGGCATAGCTTTAAATGTTGCTTTCTATGGTGAAAGCAGAGACACAAACTAAACATCAAGGAATTAAGAATAAGGCCGTGCTCTTGTAATGAGTTCTCTGTGAGCAGACTCTTATATCAGTGAAGCTTTCTGTGTGCATTGCTTGCATGAGTTTACTGCAAAATTAGAGCTTTTAAATAAGATTTTTTTTTTTTATTCCAGCATGCTGAGGAACAGGCAGTGCCAGTAAGTGGGAAAAATTCTGGTTAGCTAAGAGTGAGGGAGTTTGGGGGTGTGAGGCATGGGAGAGGTTTCAGGGTGCCATATCCGGGGAGCACTCTCCTCAGGTAGGGCTTCCTGCAAGTGGGGTACATCTACACAGCACCCTAAAATCAAAATAAGTTCCAGCTCACACCAAGTTCAGGAGCTCAGACACATACACCCAGACATGGGCTGTTGTCTCTTTGCCAGAGGTAGTAGCACAGGGTGACAGGTTGCCAGTCTGTGAGGGGAATTGGTTTTTAAACTAGCTCTCCTCACAGACCAGCTCCCACCTGCCACCCTGTGCTGCTGCCTCTGTATCAGGGCTCCTCTAGAGTAAGGCTAGAGTGTACTGGCTTCTGGGCCCGCCCCCGGGAGCTATAGAATAGTTGACTAACCAATAAGAATTCATGAGGAACAGTAACTGATAGGTAACATCCCTCGCTTCAGTAGGAACACACAGAACCTAATTTCCCCCAGGTAGTGAGATGCTAACCTGCAATGTATATACTATCAATAGGGCAAATGGTTTTTCTGGATGTGAGTTCTCCAGAGATTTCTATTATCTTCACACAATAAGACTAATGGGTATATAAACTATCTCCTAGTTTACGGGGCTATTTGAGGTGAAAGGGAAGTCAGAAATGGTATGTCTACACTACCCCCCTAGTTCGAACTAGGGGGGTAATGTATGCATACCGAACTTGCTAATGAAGCCCGGGATTTGAATTTCCCGGGCTTCATTAGCATAAAGCCAGCGCCGCCATTTTTAAAAGCCGGCTAGTGCGAACCCCGTAGTCCTAATCCGAACTATCTGTACACCTCGTGGAAAAGCTAATCCGAACTATCTAGTCCGTGCTGCGTGTAGCCGCGCGGCACAGGGTTCGCACTAGCCGGCTTTTAAAAATGGTGGCGCCGGCTTTATGCTAATGAAGCCCGGGAAATTCAAATCCCGGGCTTCATTAGCAAGTTCGGTATGCATACATTACCCCCCTAATTCGAACTAGGGGGGTAGTGTAGACATACCCAAACTGATTTGTTTCCTGTCATTTTCTCAATTAATCTAATCCAGCAGTTCTCAGACTGTGGAATAGGACCCCAAAGTGGGTTGTGATTGCAAATCTCTTAAAATATATTTTCTCTATAGGAAAGGAAGAGGTTCCTCTCAAAAATAGCATAGTTGCCAGTAATTCCGGGTTGGTGCCTCTGTTGCAGAGAACTACTGTTCTGATTGGTATCCTGGGATATTGTAGCTAGCAGCAATAAAACTCCTATCTATTTCAATGGGAGCATGAAGACTACCTTTCTTATTTAAAGATCGTAAAATAAACTTGAATTGCCTACTTAAAAAATTCTTCAAGGCTTCCTTGTTTATAGGAAAGAAAAAGATTGAGCACTTGATATAAAATTTAAATGTTTCTGACTATGAAACTGTAAGTGGTGCTGGCATGTTTCACTATGCTACGCCTACTAAATGTTTTCTTTCAAGAACATGCATGCTTTTTGTGATCTTATCCTTTTTTTAAGTTGCAGTCACAGCTAAAGTTGTCTGTTGTGTGTGTTTCTAGATAGGTTATCTTGCAGACTCTGCATAAATTCCTTGGATTGCCTTTAAATATGCCAGCTGTTGTGTAGAAACATTATACTTCAAAGGCCACTTGAAGCTAAAATGATGAGAAATGTAAATGCTAGTGTTTTCACTACTTACAGGATCAGATTCTTGCCATTTTGTTACAGTAACATCATTGGTCAGACCCACAAAGGAATGCATTGAAATAGCTGCAGTAAACACGTGTAATCATATTGCAAAAGGATGAGTTTGTCAAGTTCCTTAGCTGTCACAATACTGTCTCTCCCTATTTTATCTGTGTCATCAAAAGCTTTTGAATTTTTTTTCCCTCTGCCTTTAGGACCATACTGTGGCAATATGATGCCTGTTCCTAAAGAAATAATCCTGGTTACTAATGAAGCAACTATTCGCTTTGAGAGTGGGTCCCATGTATCCGGACGGGGCTTTCTGTTATCCTATGCCAGTAGTGATCATCCAGGTATAGTAGAAACCAAAAAGCAACTATCCTCGTGAATTGGAGATAAATAGAGGGTATAGATGAACATGCTGCTAATAATTCATAAAACCCAGTCTCTGGGTGCCCAATATTACCAGGGAAATTATCTACTTTAGCCTTTTTTTTTTTTTTTTTAATACAGCATACACAAGGAACAGAGTAATGCATGCACGCAGAGCAGCTATTGATGTCCTACATAGACTGTTGGAGGATTGAGCAGAAAATGAGCACATTCCCTTTAAAGAAGGCTCAGATATTTCCCACATGTTGCTAGTATATCAGATTGTTGAAAACTAACATTTAACGCCAATACCTGATGCGGTGATAGTCTTACTATGCAGTTTACTTTTAATGGTAGCAGGAAATCTGTTTTTTGTGGGGTATGGGGCAGTGTTCCCTCTAAACTGTGAGGCAGCACAGCTTCACAGGTGATTTAATCAGCCCAGTCCAGTCAGCTCTGTGGTCCTGAGCCTCTGGCTGGGTGGAGCTGGTTAATCATTTGTGAAACTGCTGCCCTGCAGCTTAGAGGGAACACCGGTCAGATAAGAGGGGAAGGGAATGTGTGAGGATATCATAACCAGGGCTTGCCGAGCCTCTGCGAACCCTGCTTGCCAGCCATGCTGTCCAGCTATCTGCGCATGTGCAGATCGCTCGAACCCGGCTCTTCCAGGTTGTAATCTACTTGCCATGGCGAGTAGATTACATAGTTTGTCGAGCCATGATCGTAACTGTTTTATTCAGCTAATAAAAATGTAAACTATCGAGATGTAAACATGGAAATAATATCTATAGAGCCCTGTGTGGATACAAAATTAATATATATGTCTGTATCCACAAAAATGAGCTGTGGATAGCTGCGGATGTGGGTACCCACGGATATAAAGTGGATAGCCATGAATTTGAAGGACTTTAAATATCTGGGGACTTTTTAAAATATAATTTCACATTTAGCCAAGTTTTCTCTACAGTTTATGCGCTTCAGTTAGCAATGACTAGCCATCATACTTTTAACAGATCTAATCACATGTTTGGAGAGAGCAAACCATCACATGAAGAACGATTTCAGGTAAATGAGTGCAGCATTATGCCTTGCAGTTGTTTTTCTATGTCTTGTTTGACCTATTTATTGTTGTATCTGGATAAAGTATCTTATTTGCTTCTTGTAACATGGTTAAAAGCCTAGCACTTACCACGGGAGTGTTTTTGTTTTTTTTGAGAAGCTGATTCTTTTTCAGTATAACGCTGTAATTTATTTGTACCTAACTTGTGAGTAGCCGAAGAGTCATCTCCCCAACAGACTTTGCTTTCTGAAACAAATAAGGAGATACTACTATGGTGCTCAAACTCTTGGTTTGTAGCCTACCAGGGCAGTGCCATGGTAAACTAAAAACACAGAGCTTGACCTTCGGAGGTGCTGAGAACCCTGACCTTCCATTGATACCATTAGGATGAGGGCATTAAGTATCTTCCAGGATCATACGTCATGTTAGATTGAGACAACCAGTTAAAATTGTTTCTAGGTTTGTTTCTCGAGGCAGTGATCCTTCCAATAGGTTTTGAAATGGCACTGGAACACAAGCCACGTGTTACTGTGTTCATGAATAATATTGAGCATAAATTTCTTACCTCATTCTGTTTGGAAAATTGGTTACCTTGTGTAGTAATATTTACAGAACAAGCAGAACTGAAGGAGAAAATGTACTTCAATGATGACTGTTTTGTTTCTCTTTGGGTCCTGCTGTATGCAGTAAACTAAAACTTGAATCTGAGAACAAATTTGCCTTTTAAAAACATGTTAATTTATGCTCAGTTAGAACACATTTCTAAAAATATTTCTTGGTTTGGAGGGTGGGTGGGTGTGTGTGTGTGCACGCGTGTGTAGCATTACAATCTGTGTCTTAAACACATTTCTGTTCTTTTACTGCAGCAAGTACTGTCCTGCTGGTTGCAAAGAGATAGCAGGTGATATTTCTGGGAATATAGTGGAAGGATACCGAGATGTAAGTATGAAGGGTAAAATCTGGCTTTAGAAAGATGGAATATAAAGGCAATTGCTCGGGTTGGCAGGTATCTGAGGTTTTTTTGACCAGAAAGTCCAGTAAAAAAGATGACTGACCGTGTTTGGTCAGATCTACTGATCAGACACCCCAAATCCAGTTACTGCAGGCAGAGGAGGTGGGATGCACAGACCCAGGGAGAGGGGAGGAAGGAGAGGGGAAAAGCAGCAAGTGACAGGGGGAGGTAAGAAGAGGAGCAGACAAGGGGCAGTGGCTGGGGGAGGGGGAGAGGTAGTATGGGGGCAGGGACTTGGAAAGAGTCGGAGCAGGGCTTAGGGGGAAGAGGCAATTCTGCTCGACTGTCTGGTTTTTAAATATTACAGAGTTGTTAACCCTAGAATATGCATGGTTATTTAGAACAATAAGCAAAAAACTCATTCATTTTTTAGCTCTCTTAGTAGTAAAGGTGCCAATAAATGGGATTACTTAACATATTACCACAAAAGCCAACCACCTATTTATGAGCAAAAAAACTTAATATCAGCCAAAAATCCATACACTGAAAAGATACTTCTAGCTACCATGGTTGATTTGTTCTTATTCCCTCCTCTGTCCTTTTGAGTGGTACTAGCTGACAAGTTAAACTGTTCCTACACTCTCCAGATTCTCTCTTGAAAATTCTGTGCATCCCAATTCCTGATCTCAGTTGCTCCCTGAACAATGCTATGCCGCCTCATAGATCTTTCCATTTTTTAAAGTCTGTCCTCCAAAGTGTGTGTGTGTGGGGGGGGGGGAAATCAGCAAAAGAAGTTACCTATCAATTGTAGGACCTGTGTTAATGAGGTTAATTAAGTCAAGCTGGATGTGTCAGGAACACTATTACTGATGATGCTACGGCACACCTGATGGCTGAGCTATGTGACTTTGTCCTCACCCACAACTATTTTCGATGTCTTTAAGTCAGTGGCACTGCGATGCCCCCACAAGATGCCAACATTTTTGTCTGACCTGGAACAATGTTTCCTCAATTCCCATTCCCTAGCATGCCTCCTTTACTTGCGCTACATTGGTGACATCATCAGTTGGATCCATAGGAAGGAGACCCTTGAATTCCACAGGGATTTCAACAATTTCCACCCCACTATCAACCTCAACCTGTACCAGTCCACATGAGAGATCTTCCTGGACACTACAGTACAAATAAATGATAGTCACATAAACACCACCCTATACCGGAAACCTGCTGACCACTGTTATACATGCCTCTAGCTTCCATCCAGGACACCTCACACGTTCCATTGTCTACAGCCAAGCCCTAAGATACAACTGGATCTGCTCCAATCCTACAGACAGAGACAAACACCTACAAGATCTTTATAAAGCATTCTTAAAACTTATACCCACCCGAGGAAGTGAGAAAACAGATTGACAGAGCCAGACAAGTACCCAGAAGTAACCTATTTCAAGACAGGCCCAACAAGGAAAATAACAGAACACCACTGGTCATCACTTACAGTCCCCATTTTAAACCCCTCCAGCACATCACTAGCTACCACCTGTGCTGAGAAACGATCTGTCACTCTTTCAGACCTTAAGAGCCAGGCCAGTCCTTGCCTATAAACAGCCTCCCAACCTGAAACAAATACCAGCAGCCACACACAACACCACTAATATTTACCCAGGGACCTACCTCTGCAACATACTCTATTGCCAACTCTGGCCACATATCTATACAAGCAACACTATCACAGGACCTAACCACATAAGCCACAACATCAGGGGCTCATTCACCTGTATATCCACTAATGTGATCTATGCCATCAAATATCAGCAGTACCCCTCTGCTATGTATACTGGCCAAACTCGGCAGTCTCTGCACCAAAGGATAAAAGGACACAAATCATACATCACAATGGTAACACACATAAACCTGTAAGGGAACACTTTAACCTGCCCGGGCATTCAATAATGGGTTTAAAAGTAACCATCCTTCTACAAAAGAATTTTATCTCCTGATTACAGAGGGAGACCTCTGAACGGGAGTTCATTTACAAATTCAACACTTACAAATGCAACACTATCAACTTAGGCTTGAATAAAGATCTTAACTAGTTATCGTGCTACAAAGACAGTTTCCTCGCCTTTGATATTCACATCTTCACATCAGATGCTCTGAATGAGACATATCTACCCTGACTTAATTAGCTTCAGGTAACTTCTTGTGCTGTTACTTATACCCTGGATTCTGTAATTTCCACTCCAACTCATCTGAAGAAGCGGGTTTTACCCACGGAAGCACATGACCTATTCAGTTTGTTATCCTCTAAGGTGCCACAAGACTCTTCATTATTTTTAAAGTTACAGACTAATATGGTTACCCCTTTGAGGCCTTGTAGTAGTAGTTTTTCATTAAAAGAAGGAAGTGGTCTGAGTGGTTTGATTATGCCTGTCTTATACCACACCTTACTCTGTCCTGGCAGAAGTCACCAGGATCAGAGACCTCCTGGAGTATGACTGAAGAGACTGGGCGGATCTTCTGATGCTTGCACAGCGCATGGGGCACTCCACCCAGTGTACTCTCTGGTGCATGCTTCAGGAGAGATGCTTTGCCCCCCACTGCTCGGGTTGATCTTGACAGGGTCCTGCGAGAGGGTGTATTCCTCCCACCCCATATCCCTGGGCTGCCTGATCTCTCCATCGCCCCCAGCCCTGCGTGCCTTCCCAACCACTCTCCCCTCATCATCCACTCTGGCTGTACGCGTTGCAGCCGGTCCCCTTTCAAACTGCACCAAAGTCATCTGTACATACTTGTGCTTCACGCTCTTCACTTCCCCACCCTTGTATCCTGCTCATACACCAAGTGGTGAGACCTCTTACCACAAATAGAGGGTGTGGAGCCCTGGTCTCTACACCACCTTGGTTCTGCTGCGGACATCAGCTGGAGATCTCCCATGGCGCTCTGATCACATACATGTACTTGGCATGGTTCACCCCGTTCCTGACACTTGCCCCTTCTGTGGCATGAGGGAGACCCTGGTACATGTTTATCTTGAGTGCACCAGGTTACAGCCCCAGTTCCGGCTCTTCAAGAGCCTCTTGTTGAGGTTTTGGCTGCACTTCTCCCCTCACCTATTAATTTAAGCACACCCATCCATGGCCCCACAAAGTCACAGGACCTCCTCATCAACCTCCTCCTTGGCTATAGCCAAGATGGCAGTTTACCAGACCAAGGAGCAGAGGTTGGCTGTGGGAAGGACCTATAACTGTAGGGCCTATTTCCACTCCGGTATCCATTCACGCATCTGGGCAGAGTTCCACTGAGACTCGTCTGCTGGCTCTCTCAAGACTTTTGAGGGGCAGTGGGTGCTGTCCAGGGTTCTCTGGTTGATGTCCCCATCCAGCTTCCTCGTTTTGACCCTATGACCTCCACACCTGTCCCTGTTTTCTCTTAATTTGTCCACAGTAATCATTTGGCATTCTGGGCTTTGTGGGCCCTTCCCATAGGCTAAAGGGAGGTCCTTTAGATGTGGGCAGGTTAGCACCCGCAGACCTCCTAGAATCCAATAGGACCACACCCTACTCTGATCACTGGCTACCCCACAGTTCTAGAATATAATCCCTATATTCCTGTGATATCTTTCTGGTATCTCTAGGCTTATCCCAATATAAAGGGATCATAGAACAGTACATAAAGTTCCACTTTAGTTCATCACAGATGAAGTAATAGTTGAGTTTTAAAACCCATGCACATCCTCAGACTGCTCACTCATTGTTCAATCCCACCATTTTAGAGAATTACAGAGAAATAGGCTGAAAGAAGAAGAAAATTCTGCATATGACTTGACTCAAAGCGTGTTCTGCTCATCACACATGATGATTCGAAATGAAATCAAACAAATCACTTGACCTCCCTTAGGCCTTGTCTACAGTAAGGAAAGTTTGTGGAATTTTCCTATCACTGCTAACAGTTGCTCAGTTTTTCTGGGGATAGCAACATTGGAAGCCATTGTGAAGGCCAGCTACTGGTATTTTAAGTATAGTGCCATCTAACTCTCTGCTAAATGTAGACATAGACGACATGGTCCTTAAAATGCTAATGGCCATTTTACAGTAGAGCTTTTAGTGTGGCTTACAATGGTGAAACCGAACTGTTGTTGGCAATAGGAAATGTTTGCCAATTTTTGCCAAATTTCCCTAATGTAGACAGGCCTCAATTCTTCAATCTATACAAAGAAATAGGTGTGTCTGGCTTCAGCAGAATAGGAATCTATGAAGAAGTTTTACATTAATTTTACCCAACAAACAGCAGTGATTACTTTTTAAAAACTACTTTTGCTGAGAAGAGCCATGTGGGAGGGTTGGTTGCTAGATTGTGACCCTGGAGTTCTTTCCTTGCAAGCAAACTAGTTAATCTTTTTTTGACAAAAGCACTTGTTTTTTGGAAAGTGTTGTAAACATAACTGGGGGAGGGGGGACTATACTTTCCTTCTTTATAGTCACCTTAAATTTTCCTTTTTTTTATGATTTTGAAGATCTGTGATTTCATATGAGAAAGAGAGAGGTAATGGTAGAGTGAGCATGGAAGTATTAGTAACTTGCCAAACTTAACCTTTTGTTTGAGCTGTGGTTTCTGCATTCCAGACCTCCTTATTGTGCAAATCCGCCGTGCATGCAGGTGTCATTGCAGATGAGCTGGGTGGCCAGATTAATGTGATTCAACAGAAAGGAATAAGTCAATATGAAGGAATTCTAGCTAATGGCATCCTTTCACAGAAGTAAGTGTCCCAGTAGTTTTGTCTCTTATTCTGCATTTGAAAGTTAACCCTGAAGCCACAATAAACCCACCACATTGGAGAGGGATCAGATGGGATACTGACAGCTCTTTCTCTTTTAGAAGGGAAAAAAATCGGAAGTGTTTAAATGTTTTAACACAACATTTGAGAGTTAAACAGTGGGAAATGAATGTAATACAAAATCTCATTTGGTTTGCTGATACTTTAATTAAAATGGCATTAATTTTGTGACACAGAGATATAGTGTCTCAGGTCTTTGTACATTAATGGTTAGATGTCTTAGTTTGTGCCTCCCCCATCCTCTCTCCATTTATTTCACAAATCACCTGTCACAAATAACAAAATTTGGTGTTCAGCGGACAGAACCATACATTTAAATAGTCAATGGGCTAAAAAGCAACGATGGAAAAACCCAAATATTAAAATAATGTGATTGAAGGAATAAATAACAGCGCTGAGAAGTGGGGGGAGTTAAATGAAAACTCTTAAATACATTTACAAGTTTTGTGTAGCACTGTTTAAGATTACTAGCGCTATCATTTAAGATTACTAGAGCTATCATTTATCTGCTACCCATAAATGTATTCCCACCAAAGCAAAAATAAAACCTCTTACAATATCTAACTGTGCAGAGAACACTTCCAGCAATTATCTATGTCACTTGGGAAGATTATTAATTTTTTTTAAATGTAACATATCAAGAATATGATATTTATTTGTTGGGAGGAAATACCTCTGTCCCACGCACATTTTAGGAGTCTGAGTAAATGCTTGGTAGAATATTTCTTCCCACCCATAGTTTCCCACTTCCTCTTTTTCCCAAGCCATCCTGACATGTTATGATCATCCAGCCAAAGCAGCAATAAAAATATTCACAAGGGTGAAATCTGGAGTCCATTGAAGTTAATGGCAAAACTCCCATTGTCTTAAGTAGGATTAGGATTTCACCTAAAATGTATCAGGGATATAAATTCCTGTGCTTCGGGGCATAAGTCAACCACTAACTGCCTGGAGTCTGAATTTTAAAAGAAACTTCCCTCATAAGCATGTTATTTCATAACTATCCATTATGTTGTATGGAACCTACCTCTTAAGTAAGTGGCAGTTACTGCCATTGGGAACAAGATATACAGTCTTGGATTGACCAGAGGTCACTTCCTATAAAACAAAATGAGGAGGTGAAAGGGAAATAAGATGAAATTATTTCAAAATATGAGTGAACTAAGTACTTATCAGAAAGATAAAGGACAAAATTATTAGGGAAACAAATTACATTTCAAGTTTTTAAAAAAGGGTTTCATAATTTTTATTTCAAACACTGAATACCTGTTCTGTTCTTGGAACCCGCAAATTCCTCAGAACTGTCAGTGCTGTAAAGAATAACTGGCACCTAAACAATAATACTTTTTGGGCTTCAAATACATCTTTAAATAAATAATGACTTTCTATAGCTTTTAAAAATCTCAATTACAGTGGATTTCCGTATTAAAGATGTATTTCATTCAGTGACTTAACCAAAAGCTGCTGCTTGTGTGCATTGAGCCCATAAATTTGTCTGTTCTATAATTTAATGGCTAAGTTTATAAATTGGTCACTTACCAGTTCCCAAGACCTGACCTTGGCCTTTCTGGCTTCATTTTTTATGCTGTTATCTGATTTGCAGTTTCTGTGACTGGTGTGTAGATCTAGACACATGTATAATGAAGATGTAGTGGGCACGGCTCCGATTTATCAGGAATTTGTCATTTCAGTGCAAATGTATCTGCTTTAACTTAGTCACTAAAGCTGGCCTATGAGTAAAGACCCTTTGTCTTCAGTTTTTACAGAATTTCCCCCTCCCCCTCCCCCCCCAAATTCCCAGGTTTTGAAAAAGCAAGTGCTGGGTTTTTGTTTTGTTTTTATTTTAAACAAATTTTGCAAGTGCTGGAATTCCCCAGACCTGGCTCTTTCCTCGAAGTCCCTGCCAGATGGCACAGTTGGTAGCTACTGCTGCTGCAGTGTGGGGGAGCAGGCTTGGGTTCCAGCAACCGAGACTGCTGCTGCTTTGACTGATCTTCCCACATGGCCATCTTCCCCGTCTTATTCCCAGTTTGCTACAGCTTAGTTCTTAAAATATGTAATTCTGTGGGCCACTGCAGATTAGAGTTGAGGACAAACTGTTTGTGATAGGCCGCCGGCAGCCCACACGCTGGCCGGCCGGAAAGGGGGCGTGGTGAGCCGTGCAGGGAATGGCAAGCTCGAGGGTCAGGGCACCGCTGCTGAGGCACGGTGGAGACCCTTCTCCCCACCAGGGCAGCGCCAGCGCTGCGAGCCCCGCCCCTGGCTTACTGCCGGACCAAGCGGAGGAGGTGGGCAGCTACCCGGAAGTGATGGCGGGAGGCCCTGCGTCACGGAGTGGGCAGGGCCGTCGATTAGCCTCATAGCAGGCAGGCCATTTCAAAAGGGCCTGCCGGCATCAGAGAAGGGGGACGACTGGGCGTCCGCAGCGGGAGGGCAGTGAGTCCTGGGCAAGGGACGCCACCTGCGAGCAAGGCCCCAGGAGAGGTGCTGGAAGACAGACTGAGAAACCAGTGTCAGGAACCGTGGTAGGCACGGGGGAGCTAGAGGCTACCACCCAGGGACCAGTGGGGGGAAGGAAGCAGCCCGGGGCAGGGTCCTTGTGGCGCCTGTGGGCTGACGCGTTTCAGGAACGCACCCCATCAGCCGTGCAGGGAAGTGCCGACCCTGCACTTAGAGCCCTGGGCTGGGACCTGGTGGAGAGGGGAGGGTCTGGGTCCCCCTTCACCCGCACCCCGGTGAGGAGGAGGAACGCGAAACCTGGGAGTGAGTATGAAGGTCTCGGGTCACCAGGGGATGGAGCCCGGGAACGGACTACTGTAAGGTGAATGAAACGGTTGGCAGTTGGGCTTGCAGGGCCCTTCTCCCGGACTCGGGGAGAGAGGGGTGCTCGCACCCAGGGGACTGCCACACTGTTCTACATTACAGTGAAAAAGCAACTTGGATGGGAGTTCTGTTGTCATTTTAGGTGCAGAGCTTACTTTAAAAAAAGCATAGCAGATGGGCCAAGATTTTCCAAAGGGACTGGTGCAGTCTCAAACTGTGGGGTGTGCCCCGCTAGACGAGTGCAGAAAAACATTCAGGGGCAAGCAAGGCATGGTCAGGAAGTGGAGCTCCATCCTGTTCCTCTCTTCCTGCTCCACTCCCAGCCCAACTCTGCCTTCATTCCCTCTGTCCTCAGGCCAGCTCTGCCTTCAGCCTCTGCTCCTCCTCATTCCCACTTCACCTCTCCTCCCCCCAGATCTGCCTTCAGCACAAGCTCCTCTGCTGAGTCAGCTACACAGTAATGGGGTGTGGGGAGGGAGGTGTAGAGATTGGATTACTTTGGTCACAGTGGGGAAGTTTTGGGCACCACTGAACTAGTGATTTTGTGGGGAGGAGGGGAAGGGGGAAATCAACTGGTGACATCTTCAAGGGACCAGATTTTCAGAAAGTCCAAACACCCACTCTCATGAAGATCAGGCCCCTTTCATGTGCATTTTGTTGGGCATCCACAATCTATAGTCAATTAAAAATCTTTGCTATTTTACTGTTGTCCGCTATTATGTACGGTTATGCAAAGTGGGGCAGGGTTAATTTTTTATTAATTTCCTATATTCAATAAATGGGGCAGGAACAACAAATTTTGGCTCGGTCTTCAGAGACAAAAGACACATTTTAAAATATTTGGACTTAATTATAGCAGAACCATCTTGTACCCAGATTAAAGCATCATTTTTTTTAGGCCTAGTAGAACATGAAAGGGTTTTTTTAAAGCCATTTGTGATGCCATTTGGTTGCATTTTAAAGACCAGATTAAAGTGTAATTCAGTTAAACTTAGTTTTTTTTGTTGTTTTTTTTAACTCACTTGGTCGGATTACCCTTATACTTAAACTGGATTTACACCATTGATTTCACTTCACTTACTCTTGGTTTACATGGGTGTAAGAGGAAAATTGGGCTCATTGTTTGAATAGTGCATGGCATCTACATTCAGAATTCCTAAGTTGGCATTTTGGCACTCTGATGCCTTGGTGGATTTTCTGTTGCTTTGACTTTAAGGAGCCATTGGGGGAAATTGAGTTAACATAAAAGTGCCCCAAAGTAGCAATAGATCTGTATAGTTGAGATGCTGAAGGGGAAATGTGTTCTCAAAGTTGAGGGAGGGATCAGTCATTATAAAGAATTTTTATATACTCAAACAGTAAAGGATAGGTCTGAGTTTTGTCACTGAGACCATGACAAAAACAGGAGTCACCCTGACAAGAGGTGGATGAACAGGAAGATGTTGAAGACTATCTGGTCTGAGAGATTGTAAGGGTGTGTCTAGACTACGTCCCTCTTTCGACACAGGGATGTAAATTAGGCACTTTGAAATTGCAAATGAAGCCGGGATTTGAATTTCCACGCTTCATTTGCATAATTGCATCATGGAGCTCTTTCGAAAAAGCGCTATTTTGAAAGTAAAACTGCAATCTAGATGCGGTTCTTTTGAAAAGGAAAGACTTTTTTGAAAGATCCTGTAAATCTCAAAAACTGTGTCTAGACTGCAGTTTTACTTTCAAAATAGCGCTTTTTCGAAAGAGCTCCATGATGCAATTATGCAAATGAAGCGTGGAAATTCAAATCCCGGCTTCATTTGCAATTTCGAAGTGCCTAATTTACATCCCTCTGTCGAAAGAGGGACGTAGTCTAGACGTACCCTAAGAATCAGACTACCTTTACCCCAAAGTAATATACTTGTCTTGCACTAGTTTGCATGAGCAGCTACTGAGATGTTCAATAACTGTTTTTGGTCACTCTCCCCACCCCTTTGTTTCTTATAGTGGTTCACTTTCAGACAAGCGGTTTGTGTTTACCTCCAGTGGTAAGAAAAATACTTTATTTTAGATATTCAATCCCGCTTTGCAACTGCTAAAATAACCTGGAAAATGTCAGACCACATACAATGTGTGGCTTTGGACAGAGTAACATCCTGCTGTTGTATTACAACTATAGCTTGTGATTATAGAAAAGGAAAAAGTCAAGAATAAGAAAAATGCATGTGATTAAGAAGCAGCTTCCCAGCATGATGTGATACTACTGCATCTGTGGTGCTAGTACATGCATGGAGTCCCACATTCATTCTCAGAGGGGAGGGACTGGGGGTGGGTGAAGAAGATGGGCCATAGTAATCTGATATTGGATTGCCTGCTGCAAACCCTGTGTCTAATGGTTGGCAGCACAGGAGGGAGAAACAGCAAAGGAGAGGAGAATTCTATGTGCTGGTGGCAGTGGTGGGATATGCTGAGAAAGTGCAAGTTGGTTCTTCCATCTCTTTGTGTGGGAATTCCTTTTAGGCTGCAGTAAATCCTTGAGTCTGGAAGATGGATTCATCCCCAACAGCCATATTACAGCATCATCCTCTTGGGAAGAGGCCAGTGAAATTGGGGAAACTGTTCAGTGGTCTCCTGATAAGGCCTGGCTTCAAGCCCAAGGGCTTTCATGGGCTTCCAACCACAGCAGCCACCGGGAGTGGTTGGAAATAGACTTGGGAGAGAAAAAGAGAATAACTGGTAAGTTAACAACTGAATAACATGGCTGGTTCCCAAGTCTGAGTCTTTAAGTTTTCCTTCAAGTGCCCCAGGGGAGCTCCATGTTAGGTGTTTGTGCAACCCTGCACGAGTAATTGGAGATTCATGGTAGCAGTGCCGGGTTGGGTTGAACGTGGGCAGACCTTGTCTTGTGCCACTTCAGGTGATTTACCAGCCTCCCCTCAGTTCCTTTTTTACTGCCTTTGGCTATAAGTCACAGCATTCCGCAGCACCCCGGAGTTTAGCTAGCATATTATACCACAGTTACTTCTGCTTTTATTACAGATCATCAACCCCTTTATTTTTTCTTTGTCCCCGTTTCATTAAAACATCCTAATGTTTATTTCCTACTTGAACCCTAGAACAGGTTTTCATTGAACTGTTACTTCAAGTTCTCCCCTCAGGGAAGGGTGAAACTCTCCCCTCAGGTGCGTGCATGTTTCTGTGGCATTTAAACCCTGCCCTACCTGTAGGCTATGGATTGCCCTGGCAAGACACATGTTACTCAAAAGTGTCCTCACTGCCATAAGCGAACAGCCAGGATCAGGAAAGCCAGACTCTTGTAGCTAAAGCTGCTCCTAATGGAGAGGTCCTTCAGGCTAGCATCTGATCCAGAAGCCAGGATTCCCCCTGAACAGAAGTCCTCTGTGGCAACCTCTGACAGGCTCGCCTTCCAAGTACGAGTAGATGCTGCTGTCAATACCAAGTTGGTCCTTTCTACAAAAGAATTTGGCAGTCTCCCCTCAAAGCCTTAATCGCCTGTTTTCAGCACTGACCTTACTCTGACTCACTCAATACCAAGTCACCCTTCCACTCCACCTTACTCACCTCCCCCCTCTTTCGAGTGACGAGGATGATGTCAATGATGGCAAGCCTTATTCCCACCATTCTTCTCCCAACCACAATACAGCAGGACATGCCTCCACACACAGGCCATCATACGGCACACAAAGAATCCCAATAATAAGTCTACTTATGGATGGCATCCATGCCTCCTCCACCCCAGTTGCTGTATTGGACACTATGGATGGCACATCCCACTTATCACCAAGACCTCTCAGCTCTCCCAGGTCGCCTCCTTCCCCATCCTTCATCAGGGACCCCTCTCGTGAAAATCTACTGCAAAAAGAGGTAGATGACTTCTTACAGAGGGAAGGGCTTCTATTTCCATTATTTTGTCACAGAAAAAATAAAGGGGGACAGAATCCCATTCTCAATCTCTAGTTTCTCAACAAGTTCATGAAAAATTAACACTTCAGGATGGTCACACTTGCTACTATAACCCCAGGTTTAGAAAGGGGACTGGTTCTCTACTCTCACTCTTTGTATCCATCCCTTGCAGTTTCTTCAATTCATAATAGGCCCAGATTTTTTTTCAATACAGTTTGAAAAGCTCTGAACTGGGACTCTCTGGTCAGGCAACTCTCTCTGGTCTGGAAGGACCACGGACGTTTCAGGACCAGAGTGTCCTGGTGGAGGGCTAGCGCTTGGGAGCCCTGAGGGCTGGCAGGGCAGTGGGAGCCCAAAGTGTGGCAGTGGGGGCTTCCCAGCAGGGCAGTGAGAGCCGGCTGCCCAGTAAGGCAGCAGGAGCCCAGCGTGCAGAGGTAGAAGGGCTGCCCGGTACAGCAGTAGGAGTTGGGCGCTGCAGCAAGAGCCCACTGCACCTAGAGGTGACGGGGCTGCAGGCAGTTGGGCCAGGCCGGAGGTGCGGGGGCAGAAATGACCTTCCCTGGTCTGGTAAAATCCTTTGTCTGGGACTGATTAGGTCCCGAGGGTGCCAGACCTGGAAGGTCCAACCTATACAAGGTTTTTTTGGTCTATTTACTGCCCCTCAAGGTTTTTGAAGGTCTGGGTTGTGGCTGCACATTTATGCAGAAAAAGTATTATGATATTCCATATCTAGATTATTGCCTGCTCAAAGCACCAGTACAATAACCGGTGATAGATGCCACAGAACAGACACTCATGCTCTTTTATGAGGTTAGGCTTCCAAATAAATGCCCAGAAGCCCACACTGCCACCTGTGCAACAAATAGAGTTCATTGTAGCCTCCCTCAACTCTCTCAATGCATCAGCCTTTCTACCACAGCAGCGATTCCTCCCTTTGACCAACCTGATTTCCACAGTACAAATTAGCTCACAAGCCAGAACTTGTCTACAACTACTAAGCCACATGGGCTCCACAACATACACTGTCAGACACGTGACTCCATGTGCAGTGCCTTCGAACCTGTCTCTCCTCAGTTTTATGTCCCGCATAGGTACAGTATAAACAAATATCTCAAGGTATCAAAACAGATAAAAGGAGTCCCCCTCTACTGGATTCCACCAGATAATATCTATGTAGGAGGGACTTTCGCACAAACTCCCCTAACAATGACTGTGGCAACAGATGTTTCGCTTCTGGGTTGGGAATTGTATCTACACTTGTGCTTTATCCAGAGCCGCAGGTCTACAATGGAAATTCTTCTGCACATAAATCTCCTAGAACTAAGAGACATGCACAAACACTTGCTCCCACTTCTTACTGATCGTCAAAGGCAAGATCATACAGATCCTCATGGACAAACAGATAAGGAGACATATGATCACATTCCTTTGCATAGAGACCATGAGACTCTGGCAATGGTGCATCAGACACAATATCCATATTACAGCATAATACCTACTTGGTTGCCAAAACATCATAGTAGATGTATTCCTGGAAAAAATTCCTGCTTAATGCAAGTGAGAACTTGACAACATGCATGCTCTGAAACAACTTCAAGCATTGGGGATTTCCAATGATAGATCTATTCACAACCACACAAAACACCCTCACTTCTGCTTCTGGGTGGTGCTTGGTTGCCTCTATCTGGGTAATGCCTTCTTTTTGAAGTGGAACACTTCTCCTATCTGTGTTTCCCTTCCACTTCCTATCATTGCAGGTTATCCATAAGATAAGGCAGGATAACGTCACAGTAATTTCAAAAACCTCCATGTTGCCTCGCCAAAGTTGGTATCCTTATCTTCTCAAACTATCAATGCTTCCACTTCTGCCTCATTTCCCCTCTTGCCACTACTTGCATTCTTCATCCAGATTCTCAATGACTCCATCTGAACGCATGGATACTTTCTGGCTCAAAGGACCTGAAATAAAATATTCCAGTGAAATACAAAATGTTTTACTACCGAGTCTCAGAACAATGGCCTGCAGCACCTACATGAAGAAATGAAAACAATTCAAGGCATGGTTTCAACAAAAACCAATTTCAGCCATCTCAGCCTCTTTACCCTTAATACAGGACTACTTTATTGCAACTCAAAAGGTTGTGCCTTTCCATGAGCCCACGAAGAGTGTGTCTCTCTGCTATCACAGTGTTTCACAGCAAAATAGAGGAATTCTCTACATTACCCACCCACTCACGAAAAGGTTCCTCAGAGGCCTCAGCAATTTCTACCTTGACATGAACCTACCCTGGGACCTTAACCTAGTCCTTCGAGTCCTCACTGGCCCTCCAGCGGAAACCATGGCAACATGCTCTTTGTTGCATCTTTCTATGAAATTAGCATTTCTCATGGTGAATATGTCTACCAGACAGGTGGGAGAATTAGGCATTCTCATTGCAAACCCTCCATACATAAAGTGTATTTGAAACCACATCCAAAGTTTTTGCACAAGATCATCTCCTCATTTCATCTCAGTCTATCTACCTTCCCACATTCTATGCTAAACTGCTAGACGGTAGTCCAGACTAGATACTCTGGATGTACAAAGGGCAATTGCTTTCTACATAGGTAGAAAAAAGCGTTGCATAAGTCTCCAAAACTGTTCATCTCAATCACAGAATGATCCAAAGGGAGCGCCGTATTTACACACAGGCTCTTTAAATACATTTCAGATTGCATACTCCCAACATGGCTATTCATGTGCCTTCCACTAGGGCTTTATCAGTCTCTATAATGTTGCTTACCAATGTCCACATTACATAAATCTGTAAGACTGCAGCCTGAGCCTCAGCCCAGACTGCTTGAGTCCCCACTGTCCCTGTGCTTCCCACAGCGCTTTCGCCTTCAAAGTGTAGCAACAGCCCTGGGGAGTTGCCCTTATCAAATAATCAAATAGTTGTTGCAAATTGCATTGACTCTTCGATTAGCCAATTAATCAAAATTTTACATCCCTAGCTAGGAAGTCCCCTAAAGTGGAGCACTCAAGAGAAAGTTACCCCCTTGTATACAGTAATATAGGTTTTTCATGACGTGAGTCCCTGTGAATGCTCCACTACCCTCCCTCCTCCTCTGTTCTTTGGAATTATCACAAGGCTCTGCAGAAGAGAAAAAAATGGGGGGGGGGTTGGTCACACAGTGCTAATTAACTGCCTGAAGCAGCGTGAGACGTGGGCTGCATGTGTGCAACGCAATGGAGCACTGCACTTGTAATCCAAGATTTATAGTAGCAGTGAACACCTAAAGTGGAGCACCCAGAGGGGCACACATTTCAAAGAACCTGTTACTGCATAAGGTGAGTAACTTTCTCTTGAGTGTATTTTAAGTAAACATTAATAACTGGAAATAACGTGTCAGCATGCATTGTTTCTACTTTGGTTACTAAGCACAAAAGTTTATAGATATGAGCATATGTTCAGTTGCGGTTCATCTGTATTACACAATGCACGGCTAAACTATCAAATGATACATATGGCTAAATTTTATAATCTTAGGTCAAGCGTGTGTCATTTCATAACCTTGGTCAAGCACATAATATTCATGCTAAATTATGCCAATTCCCATCTTCTCTTAGGGCACATTCTAAGCCCTTAATTCTTAAAATCTATTGCCAAGCTTTTTTTTTTTTTTTTTTTAAACTACATGTATTTTGGTTCTCCTTCTTACTGTTACATATTCAGTAACTTCCATTATTGTATACAAGAATGTTTAGCAGACGGTTTGGGGCAAAATGTAAAACTATAGATCCTCTAAGATCAGGGTCCACAATAGACACCATGAAATTCACAGTATGAAAATTGATTTTTTTTCCTCCAGCCAGTTGACTTTTTTTGAACTCCAAACTTAGTCTGAGAGATGAATGAATAGATTTCAGATAGAACTGTACCTCCTTTTTAACACACTTGCTTTTTGTAGTTGCATGTGAACATGGATTTTAAAAAAACTTGTTTTTTTTTTCTTTTGTTGCAAGGGATTAGGACTGCAGGATCCACCATACTGAAGTTTAACTTTTATGTAAAGACATTTACTATGAACTATAAAAATAACAACTCAAAATGGAGAACATACAAAGGAATCATAAGCAATGAAGAAAAGGTAAAAGAAGTTGAAGGAAAGTTGTGACACAAGATTTGATACTCAAGGAAAGATTTTCACTGCCATGAAAGATTAGGAGCGTGTGTTGACTTTGACAAAGATTGTCCAACTGCATAAATGTAACTTAAACAGGCGCACAAAGACTGTATGGACACTTTTTAGGTTAGCTAAAGGAATCAGTATGAACTAAACCAAAATTCATGTTCTTAAGTTAAAATAAATATCCATGTAGGGATTTGCACAAAGCAATGCAACATGTATACAAGGCCTACAGTGGAGGGTTGCACTGGTATAACTACACTGAATTTCATTTTTGAAATTCTACTCTAAACAAATCCCAAGAGCCTGATCCAGAGTATATTCTTTGTTACTTTCAATGGATCATGTAGGAATTTTCCGTGCTGCTGCACAGGACCCTAACAGATCATCAGTTCTCATTTTATAAACCAAAATCTTGCTCCAGAGGGAGTCTTACAGACCCTGAAAGTCTGACTAGAGAAAGGGGATTCTTGTTACCGCCATGTATTCAGTACTTTAAATCATATGGAGAAAAAAATTGGTTTCACGATGTGTTTTTTTTTTCCCCCCAGGATTTTTAATATCCTATAAGCTCAGTTTTTTGCCTACAGTGGAAAATAGGTACAGTAATGGCCCTGAACTATGCAAACTAGATATTTGAAAGTTTGCCGGTTTGCACGTTCCACAACGATAATTATTAAATATTTTAAGAATATAAGAGCGGCCATACTGGGTCAGACCAAAGGTCTATCTAGACCATTATCCTGTCTGTCGACAGTGGCCAGTCACAGATACCCCAGAAGAAGTGAACAGAACGGAATCTTCAAGCAATCCCTCTCCCGTCACCCATTCCCAGCCTCTAACACAAGCTAGGGACACCATACCTACCCATCCTGGTTAATAACTATGATGGACCTACCCTCCATGAATCGATCTAGTTCTTTCTTGAACCCTGTTAAAGTTCTAGCCTTCTCTGCATCCTCTGGCAAGGAGTTCCACATGTTGACTATGCACTGTGTGAAGAAAAACTTCCTTTTGTTTGTTTTAAACCTGTTACCCATTGATTTCATTTGGTGACCCCTAGTTCTAATGTTATGGGAACATGTAAATAACTTTTCCTTATTTACTTTTTCCACACCAGTCATGATTTTATAGACCTCTATCATATCCCTGTCCCCCTTAGTCTCCTCTTTTCTAAGACGAAAAATCCCACTCTTTTTAATCTCTTTTCATGTGAGACCTGTTCCAAACTCCTAATCATTTTTGTTGCCCTTTTCTGAACCTTTTCCAATGCCAATATATCTTTTTTGAAATGAGGCGACCACATCTGTACACAGTATTCAAGATGTGGGCGTACAATGGTTGTATATAGAAGCGACAAGATGTTCTCTGTCTTATTTTCTATCCCTTTTTTAATGATTCCTAACATTGTTTGCTTTTTTGACTGCCACTGCACGCTGAGTGGATGGATGTTTTCAGAAAACTATCCACAATAACTCCCAAGATCTCTCGCTTAAGTAGTTATAGCTAAATTAGTCTCCATCATTTTGTATAGTTGGGATTTTTTTTTCCAATATGCATTACTTTATATTTATCAACAGGGCTCGACAAATCCGCTTATCTACTTGCCCATGGCGAGTAGATTTCAGCCGGCCGCCCCATTCACTGGCAGTGCAAGGCTCGCAAGTGGGTTTTCACTGTGGTCGTCAAGCCCTGTTTATCAACATTAAATTTCATTTTCCATTTTGTTGCCCAATCACTTAGTTTTATGAGAACTTTTTGAAGTTCTTCGCAGTCTGCTTCAGTCTTAACTATCTTGAGCAATTTATTATTACTTGCAAATTTTGCCACCTTACTGTTCACCCTTTTCTCCAGATCATTTATAAATTGGTTGAATAGGATGGTCCCAGTACGGACCTTTGGAGGACAGCACTAGTTACCGGTCTCCATTCTGAAAACTGAGCATTTATTCCTACTCTTTGTTTCCTGACTTTTTAACCAGGTATCAGTCCATTTAAAAAACTTGGTGTGATTGTTTTTAAATTCCACCTCAAAAGAAACTCCAATTCATCTAATGGAATGGGTTTTTTGCTCATGAAAGCTCATGATTCTGTATATCTTGGTTAGTCTTTAAGGTAGCACAGGACCACTCATTGTTTTTAAAGTTAGACTAGCCTGGCTATACTTCTGTGACTCAGAAGAAACTGTTACATGTTATCTTAATCAGAATTAATTCAGCCCAAGGCTTCACATTTATATACTTTTCATTTAAACTAATTAAAAAATCTACTTGTAGAGCAGGCTGTTTGATCAGATGGATTTTGTAAGTACAAATAGGTTAACATAGTCATTATTTTTTGAAACCGTGAGCAGTCCTGTGGCACTTTAGAGACCTAACAAAAATATTTATAGTATCAGGAGCTTTCGTGGGCAAAACCCACTTAAGTTATTTTTTTGAGTAGTATCCGTATGAAGGTGAATAACTTCTTTTTCATCATCCATTTAGAGTTCATTGAAGAAAAGTAGTTTTACAAAACTTTTTTCATGATTTGCTTTCCATGAAAAGGGGGTGATGGAGTTTTGCTTTTGATGCAGGGGGTATTTCTAATTCAAACACAACAAGCCTGCATGAGCAGGCTGCTGATCAGAAAATGAAAATGACTAGTCTTATTTCTTTGTCCAGGCTGAGTTAAGTGCAAAATGCCAATGTTAGCAAAAATTGTAAAGTAAATTCTTTTAAAATTTACTTCCAATAATCCTAAAGTTATAACACAGTTTTAGATATTTTTGAATGAGTTTTAGGTTGACAAATTTAAGATCTGTATTTTTAACAAACTCCCTCTGAAAACACAGCAATTAAAGAGTTTGTGTGCTTTAAATTGCAGGTATTCCAAGGCAACTCTAATTATGGGGACGTAGTACGTAATAATTTTATCCCTCCTATAGTGGCCCGATATGTGCGGATCATTCCACAGAGCTGGCACCAAAGAATAGCACTTAAGGTGGAGCTGATTGGTTGTCGAATAATGCAAGGTAAATAAGTAAGTTGTATTTCCCAGAGCCCAATGAAGCAATGGAGTCCAAAGCCCATTACAACTCAGTTGTTTTCCCTTTTTGCAGCTAACAACTCATTCACTCACTCAGTGTGGCAAAGACCAAGTCAAAGTACAGGTGTGGCAGTTGAAAAAGAAGACAGAACCATCACAGAACCCATCCCATCAGAAGAAACTAGCTTAGGTAACACTAGATCAGTACAGTCTCTCTAAAATGTCCCATTGTCTTGATGTGTATTTCCTGTTCTACCCAGCATCTACAATTTGCCAGATAAAATTGTTACTATCTCATCAATGTTCTTCAAAGATTTTTCTGAAAATGAGAGAGTAAAGAGTCCTCTTTGTTTTATTTACGAAGGAAAAATAAAATTTGAAATCTTAATTTTTTTTAAACGTAGATATAGTGTGCATCACTTTCCCTATTTTGTCTCCCTTGATGGACTCCTATTGACATCTTGCTTGGACCTTTGAAGGGACAGTGTTCTTTTTATAAACAAAAAACATTTTCTTCCAGATGTGTTTCAGATGTTTGAATTGAATAGATGTTAACAAAAACAAGCCCTAAATTATTAAATAGCCTGAATAAAATAATTTCCTCTTTCAGTTAATGAGGTTTCACGTCTTTCCTTTCAATGATGTCCTAAATTGACCAGTTTTCTAGTCCCTAGAATCTGAGGAAAAGTTGAGTCAACAAGACTTGAATATCTAATTTAAAAAAAAAAATTAAGGGAAAAAACACTTGAAAAACAATTTTCAGTTTGTCTTTATTTTTGCATACCCTAGAGAAGTGCAGTGGGCATAAACTCTTTCTGATTTGCAGGGTCACTCTTACTTTTGACCTACACTGCCTTAAAACATGGGATTGACTATATTATATGTAGTAAAATAAAACCCACTTGTTCTTACAATAGTAGTTTTGCAAAAGATAACCTGCTACAGACCTTAAGAGCCTTGGGTTTCTAGAGGTATTTTCTTTTTCTAAATAAATAAAAACTCTCTCTCCTCTCCCCTTGCATACTCCTACTCCCCAAAAAGGCAGGTTAGTGCTGTACAAAAATATTGATGTATAGATAGAGGTATCTCTCCAAAGTAAATACTCCTACAGTAGGTCAGTGACTCAAAAGACCAACTAGAGCAGTACACTTTACTTTCCTCTATAGAAGTCTAGGTGGGTGCTTAGAATTGAGCAAAGGTAATGTGGCTGCATTCTAACAGAAAGTACCTTTAGTGCTATTCCCGTTACCCCAAAGGTTGACTGAAGTAGGGCCCCTATGGAGAAAAGTAATATGTGGATGTGCAATTAAAAGGCTATACTAATATAGGCACATAAGGGAGGCAAATTAAGATTGCACAAGCAAGCTTAATTCTGGCATTTCCTAATGTGTGAGTGCTTAATTTTGCAACCTTAATGGTCTTTTAAAATAGACATGAGTGTAATTCAAAGGTGGGTTTTTTTTCAGTTTGCCTTTTTGGGGAGGGAGGGGAAGCAAATTCTCTCATGCGCCACTTTGTTGATACCATGTGATTCTTCTGGAGGGTTGGAACTTTTACTTCATTAGCATCAGTGGTCTCTGCCACTGATGCTAATGAAGTAACTAATGCCAGTGAGCTCAGACAAGCACTTCGACAGCAAGTTTCAAAGATATTTCATGCTAGCAGAGGATTGAGACTTGGGAATCCTCTTCAACCTTGTCCCACCCCAACCCTGTCTCCTTGTCCCAGTCCTATGCTCTTTGCTTACCCAGTTCCAATCCATACTTCCACAGATTTCTCATCTCTGTCCCATTCCTCAGCCAATTCTAGTCTCCCCTTCCAGGCTCCTCCTCCATCCTGTTTCTGTCCTCTCCCTTGCAAAGTTACAAGCAATTGAAAATAGGGTCTTCATAATGGGAAGTGTCTGACAACTTTAATAGGTGGTACCGCCATCCCAGCCTATAATAAGATAATTTACTTTTGGAAGAATGTATATAGATATGGAACAACACAGAAACTGAGGGTTCGTCTACACTGCTCTGTTATTTTGAGATAACAATGTGAGCGTTTACACAGCCATTTCATTATTTCAAAATAATGGGTGGCTTATTCCAAAGTTTGTAAACCTCATTCTATGAGGAATAATGCCTATTCCAAAATAGCTATTTCCAAGTAAGGCCTGTGTAGATGCTCCTCTGCTGCTATTTTGAAATAGCCCCTCACCAGGGCCATTCTAAGTTATTCCTCCCCAATACCTCCTGGAGCTCTAAATCAAGATAGCAGGTCTACATTAGGAAATCCCACCTCAGACTAATTTTGAGGCTTCCCAGCAGTGTAGACATGCTATTTCAAAAATAAGCTATTTTGGAATAACTATTCGGAAATAGCTTATTTCAAAATACGCGTGCAGTGTAGACATAGCCCTAGAGAAAATAGGTCTAGCTCCTTCGGGATCAACATGGTGGCATCTATTCACATCAAATCTAAATTTGTCCCACAGCCTCTTGCAATATTGCACCTTTACTTTCTCATGCGCTCTTGAGTCAAGATTTTTATCCTATTTTTTTTTTTTTTTCAGGCTACTCTGCTAAAACAAAATGTATCTAGCTTTGGAAAACTCTAGCCTGGTTACATTTTTTTTTGTTTTGTTTTGTTTTGTTTTTCATGCAGGGTTAAAACTTACAGCTATCGTTGTCCCAGTCCTAGTAGGGCTGTGTCTGTTCCTGCTATCTGGGATTTGTATCTATGCAGCCATACGAAAGTAAGAGATTTTATTTTTCATCATATACATTAAAAAAGCTGTGGTGGCATAGACAACACTAGCACACCAGTGCTTTCTCATAGGCTGGAACTTAAAAATTGTTTGTTGATAGAAAGCCTTTTTAAAATGAGAATCTCTTATTTGGTTTGGTACATTGTGTTACTCTAACATCTGGCAGCCAAATACAGAAGTGATGTACAATAACACCCCGATGCTAGTTCAGTTACACAGTAATTGGTTAATTGGCCTCAAACCTGCCTATTTTAATTGTTATCTTGCCACCTTTCATTGGTGGTGTTGCTACATTCGGGTCTGCTGGTTCCTTGATATGTGAATTAGACCAGCATTGACTCAGTGGGCCAAATTCAGAGGTGTTATGTAAGGGGGTTTATAAAACATGTGTTGGGAAATAAAGCTAAGCAGCTGTCACATGAGTGGAAATGCCTGGGAAAAGGTTAATTTCACTATCTTAAACTCCCCCTAGACTTCCCTGAATTTGAACTCTGCTCGGTGAAGATTTGGGGAAGAAGATACAGTTCCTGTGACGTGACTTCCCTATGAAAAGGGCTTGTGTCGCCTCTGAATGCAGTGTCAAATGTAGGGTTTCTAACTGACCAAAAGTCAGGCTAGCAATCCTAACACAACCAAGAAGAAAACATCTGAGCTGTCAATATAGGGACATGAACAAACCAAATGAACTGCTAAGAGGTCACTATTTTCTGTGCCTTTGCTAGCTAAACGAGTTTTGAGGGGGAGGGTAAATATAACAAGAGTCAGCATTCATGTCCCCTTCTGTAATAAGTACTGTTATCCAGAAGAAAATGAAGGGGGATGATTTTCCTCACATGGTAAACATGCTGGTTCTCCCTACTGAAGCTAAGACCTGAAGGTGAAGTGCTGGGAGGAACAAAACCTTACAGACATATTGCTATCTTTCAGGCGAGGGACAAAAGGAGATGCTTATGGCTCATCTGCACAACACACAGGTTAGTGGAGATTCATGCTCTCTCCTTTCTGTGAGTTGATGGGAAAGATCAAACAGGTGAGCATCAGTTGCATCACTTCCCTTTCAATTCAATTCACGGCATTGTGAAGGGGTTAGAGCAAATGATGCCACCTGAAAATAGCAGCCAAAGAAAAGAAACAATGTGGCTTCCACAACAGACATGCAAAAATCAATTGAAAGCAAGACTTTGTATCAAAACTGACAGTATTCCCACTAAAAAAAAACACATACCCGCCATCAAACTGTGCCTTTCCTTTCCCTCTTCTGCAGCGCAGGG